TCGTTTAGACAAGGTGATAATAATACATATGCCTACATTCAACCTAAGGATGTTTAACACTGGAAGTCTTTTCCCTGACTTGTGAAAAGTTTCTTGGTATATTTTACGGACATGATACTTCATTTTTTGTATTTGTATTTTATGTTTGGAAGTGGGGCGGATGAGGCTAGGGGCTAGACAATGGTGTTTTTAAGTTATTACGATTTTTGCGAAAGAAAAAAACCCAGATACTGTTATATCTCGAACCAAACAAAATATGTTAATGTGATTAGATTATATGGGTTTTTAATAAAATGATGGTCTTGAGTTGTTTTTTCATGACATCAAAAGATTTTTGGAAATTTCTTGAGTTGATGTGGAAGCTTAAAGATCAATATGCTAGTTCTGAATATACTGTAGCAATCAATGATGTCCCACCTTACACTCAATGGTCCCATGTATCGTTTAATGATGTTCATTGTACACAGGGGCGTCATTTCAGTATTTTTCAAGGGTGGGGGATAAACCAAAACTTCGTGGGCTTGTTAAGTTGTTTATTACTGGAGGAGCCACAGTACATATCAATTTAATTAAAAACTGCAAATTCAAAATATGGGGGGGGGTCAAATGTACCACCCTGCCCTACCCAAATGACGTCCCTGATTGTACATTAGTTTTAGCGTATTATTGTCCTCTGAGCGATCATTATCACGTAGTTCTCATAATGATTTCCTCAGATGAGGAGAGAAGCAGCGCTTGTTGGGAAAGGCCCGGCCAAGGAGAGCATATGGCAGTACTTTGTTGACAAGTGTGCCACTAATTTGCATATTGTCATGGCTATGTCACCTGTGGGAGAAACTCTGCGGACCAGGTGTAGGAACTTTCCAGGTAAGGATAGATCGAGGGTAGAGTGATGAGTCTTTGCGATTTTGAGCAACCGGAAGTAGGGCGTTGTTGGAAGGGCACTGTTTGGACTCACTGTTAAGACTACTGGGCTGAAGTAGGGCGTTGTTGGAAGGGCACTGTTTGGACTCACTGTTAAGACTACTGGGCTGAAGTAGGGTGCTTTTGGAAGGGCACTGTTTGGACTCACTGTTAAGACTACTGGGCTGAAGTAGGGCGTTGTTGGAAGGGCACTGTTTGGACTCACTGTTAAGACTACTGGGCTGAAGTAGGGCGCTGTTGGAAGGGCATTCTTTGGACTCACTGTTAAGACTACTGGGCTGAGTTGTTGTAAATATGACAGTCGAGCTCTTTAAAATGTTGAATGACGTCAGCTGTTCCACTCTCTGGATGTTTACCCATAGTCTTGTTTTCCAGAGATGATATGTTAAACACTTTTCTTACAATTTCTGGCTCACAGTGACTCTCACCAAATTTGAGCACATGAGCTCTAACCCAATGTGAGCACAGGGACTCTCACACAATTTGAGCACATGACCTCTCACCAAATTCGAGCACAGGGACTCTCACCAAATTTGAGTACAGGGACTTTCTAGAATGCCAGTCAAAGAAATGTGGATGAAATGGAATGAAATCATGATCTTCTGTTCAATTATTTTAGACTTTTCCTATGATGTTTTATAGTCAACAGTGTTTGCAGTAAGCAGATGCTGTTGTATAATTTTTCAAGTGAAGGTATGACAGCTAAAGAGCTTATACATAATTGTTTCCATGACATACATTTAACTTGACATCATACTATGTACATGACACACATTTAACTTGACATCACACTGTGTACATGACACACATTTAACATGATCCTGCAGGTATCGTCAACAATGCCATCATTGATTGGTTCTTCCCGTGGCCGGAACAAGCTCTTTTTGCAGTGGCTAGTGTCATGATATCTCCAGATGTACGTACACATGTACAAATTTCTAACTGTGTACTTATATCACGTTTGTAAGGAGATGACTAAATATATACAAATTTTATTGGATGGAAATGTTTGGGCAGAACATATTGGAATATTTCCTGGAATATTTAAAAATATCTTAAAATATTTGACGTGTAGAAAAAAATTTTTTTTAAAAATTGTAAAACACATGCAAATTATTCTGAGGAAATATTGTTTTAAGTAACACATAATTAAACAACTTTATTTTTTAATAATTTTTTTAAAAATCTTTCTTTTTTTTTTAAAAATTTTATAATGAACAGCAATTTAATATGTATCATTCTTTTAGTAATAGTGTTTAAACATTTAAAAGAACATAAAGAGAGAGTAATAGATAAATTGCTATCGTTTTTCCAGGTTTTCCCATTATACATTTTCCTAGCTTCTTAATAACATAATCCTTTCCAACTTAGTTTTCCATGCAGTTTATCAGCAATTAAAATTGGAAAAATTTTAATTGTTGAAACTCTTTTAAAACATGAGTTAAAAAAGCATATCAACTTTTGCTTCAGTTAGAGAGAAAGTAAACTAATTATAAGTCATGTTTTTTTTATAAACCCGTCTTTGGATGAAGATATTTTAAAATGTACATTATTATTTCCCTATTTAATTTCCATGCTCCAAGAATCAACTGATCCCACAGAACCACCGTGAGGACATTGTGGGCCACTGTGTCATGGTCCACCAGAGTGTCAATGACTACAGCGCCAGGTTCCTGCAGAGATTACGCAGATACAACTTTGTCACACCCAAAAACTACCTAGATTTTATCACCTGTTACCTGCGTCTGCTCAAAGAGAAAGATCTGTACATATTATCCCAGGTAAAAAAAAGGGGGGATGCTATGTAACGAAGATAGGACCTGCTGATTATTTTTTTTTAAATTTTAAATTTGGTTTCCGATTTCTGAGCCATTAACGATTCAAGTGTTTGCTGATGGAGGCTTTACATTATATATATTGGGCATCATCCCATCTTCAGAAGATAATGGCTAAATTTTGCTAGCAATAACTTTGCAAAAAATGACTGAGTCTAAGGAACAACTATTTTTCTAGTCAGAGGATCCCTCCTCTCAATGCAGCTGGTGAACCAAAGGCATCATAAACTGGTGATAATAAGGGCAAAAATGTTTGGCATTTTGCTGGCAATCTAGTAATGAAGCTATAGAGATGTGATTCCTGGCCTTGATTTCCTTTTTTAAAAATTCTAATAAAATTGTTTGTCTTTATAAATATTTTGTTTGCAGTTTTGTTAAATTTTTTTGCTATTTGTATAAATTAAATTATTTTGTTGATATTAATTTAGAAGAGATCAATTTTGATTACCTTGATTGCAGTGCGAGCGCCTCCAGGGCGGCCTCGCCAAGATTGCAGACGCCAGCCAGATGCTGACCGTGCTGAATGAGAAGCTCGCCATCCAGCGTGTTGCAGTGAAAGAGAAAACTATAGCCTGCGAGAGCCTGCTGAAGGAGATTGCCCAGTCCAGCGCGGAGGCCAACGAGATGAAGGTCGCTGCCCAGATCAAAGCCCAGGAGATAACAGAGTCCAGCAAGATCATCGTTGTGGAGAAGGTCAGAGGAACTGGTTACTTAGAAGCTCAACATCTGCATTTGTACAGCAGCTCTGGGGTTTTATGATACTGAATCCGTCGGAAGTTAAATCTCAAATATATTATTATTATTATTATTACTATTGTTTAAAGAACTAATTTTAAAATGGGAAGAACCAATGAAGTTTAGCAACAGCCATTTTTATTTTATTTTTTTTTCAAGTTACGTACATTTTTGGGGCCTCAGTCTTCCTTGAAATTTTTAATTGACGTGTGAAGAGAAAAAAACCAAGCAGAAGAAGGTTTCATGTAAATAGATTTAGGTTATGAAAGAACGAAAAGATTATTTGTCTGGGCCGGTTCGGATCTCAGGCCTCAGTCTGCATTTGAGCACAGCTAGGATAATCAAGTTTCATAAGAGATTGGCTGATTCATGTCATGCGTATCGCTGTTATGTTTTGTTGTTTTGATTATGAATCAGTTTTGTTTCTCCCCATAAGGCTGATGCAGAAGAGGCTCTGCAAGAAGCTTTGCCAGCTCTAGAGGCCGCCAGGCTTGCGCTGGATGACCTAGATAAGACAGATATTACAGAAGTAAGGTGAGCCAGGCTTGCACTTGATGACCTAGATACTCTCTTTTTGATCTGACTACAGCAGCAGCTCATTACAGCATAATAGAATACCAAAGCTATTGAGACTGAGAGTTAACGCAAGTTTATTGAAAGAAAGAATTGAAAGATTGTCTTATTTTTAAAGTGAGGGATTATTAAAAGCTGCTGACTGTAAGATAAAAGTTATACTGAAGAAAAGAGGATTTATTTTACAGACGCCCTGATTCCAATCCCCAGATCCTTCGCCAAACCCCCTCCCGCGGTGCAGACTGTGTGTGAGTGCATCGTGGTGCTCAAGGGGGTCAAGGAAGTCAGCTGGAAGTCGGCCAAGGGCATGATGTCAGATCCCAGCTTCTTGAGACAGCTGAAGGAACTGGACGTGGACAACATCACATCCAGACAGACGCAGACTGTCAAATGTCAGTTTCATCACCGTGTCCAAAAATGATAATTGTGGAAAAAATGTGGTGTTTTTAAAATAGGGAAAAAGTAAATTGGTGGTGTCGGCTATACTAATTTGTTTCAGTAATCTCAAGAGTCTTTCCTAGGTTACTCATCACTGATAACTTAAAAATATATATAGAAAAAAGCAAAGATTAAAATCTTTGTCAAAGAGTTGCGACCCAAACTTAAATAGAATAGAATATTTAAAGTGTGGCTTACAAAGTAGAGTTGATGACAGGTGACCTTGGAAGGCTAGAGCCGGTATCAAACTAATTAATAAATGAAATTAGTTCAAATGTGCAAGAGGATTGAGACGATAACATATCCATCAACTGAGGACAATTTCAGCTCTCTGGAGTATCACAGAGAGCAAGCAGATAGTGACTGTGCGTTTCTGTTGGAAAGGTGGACCTAGCCAGAGCCGGCTGTCTTTATCTGATGCTGAGATTGTGTTACACAACAGTTAATCTATTTTCTGTCGGTGCCCCCCCCCCACCCCCTTTCCCCCAACCAGCCATGCTCCAAGGCATCAACGTCACAATACAGCAGATGTCCGCCATCAGCCGGGCCGGGGCGGGTCTGCTCAAGTTTGTTGTGGCAGTTATGGGATATTGTGCCGTCTTCAGGGAAATCAAACCTAAACGAGAAAAGGTGAGCAGCTGTGAAAAAGCTTTTGGCAGGATTTCTCTCAGAAATGTTCAAGCTAAAATTACCTGAAAGGGTAACCAATAAACTGATGTTTTAGACTGCTGCTTGCAGATTTCACACCATTTTGTCAGCACTGACAATTTTAATCAAATAGTCTTTATTTCTTGAAGATAACCTTGTTTTGTTTTACTGACATGCCTGAAAACATTCTGTGAGTGGAAAGATCATCATTGTAGTTGAAATTATTAAAATTTTTAAAGAATTCAGTATCTTTTTGAGATAAAAAAAATTTTAGCTTTAAATTTTAATGTAAAAAATGTATGGCTTTTTTTTTTTAGGTGGCCACGCTTGAGAAAAACTTCTTTGAGTTGAAGAGAGGTCTAGACAAGATCAACAAACAGTTGGCCAAGCTGGAGGACCTCCTGGCCAACTTGAACCTCAAGTATGAGAGCGCCATGGCCGAGAGGCAACGACTGGAAGAGGAAACTCGACTGATGGAGAGGCGACTGATTGCAGCGGACAAACTCATCAATGGTCTCAGCTCTGAGAATGTCAGGTGAGAATGGGGTGCAGAGAAGGGGCCCACAGGGAGCGCTGGAGAGTGAGGGCCATATTTACATAACTGAATGTGGATTCCCAACTCAGCTCCTCATTGACTTTGATTTGAGGTATGGTGTGAAACATGGGTAAACCTTTTGTCATAGACTGATGTGGTTTGGAATCCTCTGACATGATTGATAGTGCAGTGGTATTGAAATTATTGATACTGCAGTGGTTTTGACATTATTGATAGTGCAGTGGTATTGACATTATTGATAGTGCAGTGGTATTGACATTATTGATAGTGCAGTGGTATTGACATTATTGATAGTGCAGTGGTATTGACATTATTGATAGTGCAGTGGTATACAATTTTGGGGTTATCATCCTTTTCGGAGTCATGGGAGTTTCAAACCTTTGTCATGTGCAGTGATATGATACGGGGCAGAGGGTTCTATCCCCGCCCCCCCCCCCTTTGTAGATGACCCCTAATATGGGGGAGTCTATAATCTAAAAATGAGCGGGTGATGGGGTGAAGACTTTGCACTGTGATAACTGAAATCAAATAAAACACCTTTGATTGCTCCTATTTATGCGTTGATCAACTCTGTTGCGACTTGACTCTACTAGATGGCTCAAAGATCTAGCAGAGCTGAAGAAAAAGAGACAGAGATTGCTAGGGGACTGTATTGTTGGAGCTGCATTCCTCAGTTACCTGGGAGCATTCAGTTTTGAGTACAGGTAAGTTCAAGAAATGCCAAGAACAGTTTCTTCATCTTTTAAAAGAAAATCATGAGTTTGGTTGTTGTTTTTTGTGGACACACAAGTCAGCTTTTAATTTTTTACATGTGTATCACGAGTCCATAAGGTTTTGAAAGAAAGCAAATTTCATTGTGACCGTTGCATGTCTCCAGACATGAAATGTTGAATAAAGTTTGGATCCTGGACTTGCGTGAGAAAGAGATCCCCCTCAGCAACCCCTTCCGTATTGAAGAGCTCCTCACAACAGACGTAGAAATCAGCAAGTGAGCCAATCTGTGCCACGTCAACTCTGTCAGTTCATGATCATTTTAAAATTATTGTTGCATTTACTCTTTTGAATTCTTTCTTTTAAAACTTTAAAAAAAAAATTACCTGTAAAATTGACTTTTTCTATTATATTGTTGTCATTGTGAGTATTTTATAAGTCTATTGGATTGAACTAGTTAGAACACGCACTAAAACATATGGGAAACGATCTTTCTCTTTCTGTGCCCCCAAACAATGGAATTCTCTCCCATTACACATCCGCAATATAGGCCTACTGACCATCCCAGCCTACAAAACTGCCCTCAAAACCCATCTCTTAAAACTCTACTATACCCACTCATCCCCACTCCCCCACCCTCTAACTGATAAACAACGCTCGATGCTGCTGGGTGCTGTCCATGGCTAGACAGGGGTAGAAAGTACTTGGGTGGGTGAGGTCGACTTATTTTGCAATTGTAGTTTTAAATGTATAATTTTCTGTAATTGCTAATTTTTATGTGAAGGGCAGTGAGCCTAAACCCTAGGCTGGGGTACTGTGCTATATAAAACCACCTTAAGGAAATAATAACAATAATAGTAATACAGCTGAATAAAACCTCCTAGGCTTGGTAATATAGCTAAATAAAATATCCTAAACTTGGTAATATAGGTGGTCATCTGAGGGTCTGCCACCTGATGAGCTGTCCATCCAGAATGGTATCCTGACAATGAGGGCGAGTAGGTTCCCGTTGTGCATTGACCCACAGCAGCAAGCACTCAACTGGATCAAGAAAAAGGAAGAGAGGCATAATCTAAAGGTTATCTCCCTTTGCATTAAAAACAAAACAAATACATCAATTAGCATAAACCTTGACCAGATTAGTTATGACAATGAACTTAAAAGTTATAAAGTGGAGTGATTTTTAATCAAGTAATATCTATTTTCTTCTCTGTAATTGCTGTCACTCTGTATCATATTTCATCAGTTTAATTATCTAGGAAGATGAGCTTCTGATGGCCTCTGTTTAAGGTCGCTAAAAAATTAGAAAGCTTTTTCTGTAAAACAAAACTATTCTTTACGGAGGATGGGGGATGGTGGGGTGAAATTAACTTCTCCACACTAATGTACCCTTATGAATCTCTGTCGCAGTGCTGCACTTTTAATGATGAGGATTTTCTAAAACAACTGGAGATGTCCATTAAGTACGGCTTTCCTTTCTTGTTCACTGACGTGGATGAGTACATTGATCCTGTCATAGACAACGTCTTAGAGAAGAATATCAAAGGTTAGTGACAGCTTGTCAGTCTGACTTTAAATTGTCAACATTTATTGATGACAACACTGTGACGATTCTTAAACAACATACATTCTAAATAATTAATTCTTCAACTCCCTTTTATCATCTCTCCCCACCACCCTGTCACTTATTTTCACATGTTACAACTGCTTGAATAGCTTAGGTATTGCACAGCTTGCTAGTCTGATGGGCAAACTGAATAGATTCATAGCTTAGTTATTCCACAGCTTACTAGTCTGAAGGGCATCTTGAATAGATTCATAGCTTAGTGATACCTATTTAGTTTTCCTACAGTTTTGTGGGTTTATTTCTGCCATTGATTTGACCAGCTAATCTCTAAGAACATGTTTAGATCCCAGTTACAGAATTTAGCTTGATTCCATAGTCAAACTTTTGTATTTTAACAACTTTAACTTTTCTCAATGCTAAAGGGGTTCTAGGTCGTGAGGTCGTCATGCTCGGGGACAAAGAGGTGGACTATGACAAAAATTTCCGTTTGTATCTCAACACAAAACTCTCCAACCCAAAGTTTGGACCAAATGTCTTTGGAAAGGCCATGGTGATCAACTACACAGTAACACTAATGGTAAGCTGTATATATCTAACAATGGTTGATGGTAAGTTCATATCTAATATTTGATTGGTTGATGGTAAGTTTATTTCACCATTGGATTGGTAGGTGTAACTGAAATAAATTAACCATAATTATAATCCTGTAGACCACCATTGGGGCTAATCCAAACTAGGGACACAAATATAATTTCTGAGGTAGGGCTGGTATCATTTGTTTTCTCCAGAAAATAAGAGAAGATTTTTTTCCCTCCCCCCAAAAAAAACCATCAAAATATCTGTGAATGAAATAAAATAGTATGAGTTGATGGAGACTGATATATGTCGAGAACAGGAACTGATAGGTTAAATAAATAAAGATCCTAGTTGTTCCGTTTCTGGCTGGTAATGCTTGTGTAATTTGTCATTACTTTTTGTGTCCAATCCACCATAAATAACATTTAACTTTTTTTTTTTTATAATAAAAAATGTATACATATTTTGTTGTTGTTGGTCTATACAGTAGAAATAAAGTAAATGCACATTTGAAAAATTTAATTATTGTAATAAAAATCTGCTTTATGACAGAAGTGCTATCCTTTGTGGGGCTGGATTAGATTCCTCACTGTTTGGAGGCTTCACAAAGATTTGTATTTAATAATATCCAAGTGTTGTAGACATAACAAATTTCTTAACTTTCTTATGTGAAGGTGCAATTAATAGAGACTGAACATTTTTAAAAAAAAATTAAATGTTAACATTATGCCTGAACTTAAGACCAAAAAACACAAAAAAATCAATGTCTCACTGTCCCAATGCCTCAATGTCTCTTTGGTTGCACTCTTATAAATGAAAGCATAAAACTTGACTTCCCAAGGGTCTGGAGGACCAGCTTCTGAGTGTGATTGTTGGTTATGAGAAGAGGGAACTAGAGGAGCAGAGAGAAAGTCTCATACAGGAAACCAGGTAAACAAGATATGTGTTATCTGTCTCTACCACTGATCTCTCATTCACTTCTTTGTACTTATTTGTGTTTAAATTTTCCTGTATTGAATGTAGATTATTAGGTATTCTTCTCTTTAAGTTCTAAGGATATTTCATAAGATCAATCTTGTTCTGTTGCATTCTAGGAATATTTCATAAGATTAATTTTGTATAATCATCGAAATATTTCCAATAGATTTTTAACAGATCTGCACAGTTTAAACAAAGCTATGTGCAAAAAAAACAAACAAACAATAACCCAATAAACAAAAATCTTTTTGTTTTGTACAATTTAGTGGAAAGATATTGAAACTAAATATTGGAGGATTTGTTTTCTGCAGCTTCAACAAAAAGCTCTTGTATGATTTGGAAGACTCCCTCCTGAGAGAACTGGCCCAGTCCAAGGGAAATATGCTGGACAATGTGGATCTTGTAGAGACACTAGAGTCCACTAAAACCAAAGCTTCAGAGGTCAGCTTTTATTATAGCATGAAGCCCTGAAATGAGATCTTACTTACTGTAATAGAATTCCCTATGTGAAAAAATGTCTGACACAGTCCAGACACAGCATGCGTCATGGTGTAGTTGTAAAATGAATAGTGTGTGGGCGCTGTACAAACTACAATACAGTAACATCAAAAACTAGGAGTGAATACATGATGTGATGACATATTTATTATAATTATTATTTTTATTTATAACCAGTAACATACAAATTAACTTTAGTTATGGATGAATAAGCTGTTTGTGAAGTTCCAGGAAAGAGATTTTTTAAAAATTCTATCAACAAAGCTCAGCAAATGTTTTTTCATCAAGAAGGGAGACAATATTTATTTGGGCCACAATTCATCAAGAAGGGAGACATTAAATATTTTGGGCCACAATACATCAAGAAGGTAGTAACTAAGTATTTTAGGCCACAATTCATCAAGAAGGGCGACAATTTGGACAATAATTTATCAAGAAGGGAGGCAATAAATATTTTTTAGCCAGAATTTATCAAGACGGGATGCAAAGTGAAGACACTGATATAATATTACATGAAAAATATACTGCTGATTTTTTCCAGGTGACCTACAAACTTGACCTTGCCTCCAAGACGGCTATTGACATTGAGAAGACCAGAGATGGGTACCGTCCAGCAGCCATGCGTGGCGCCATTTTGTTTTTTGTGCTAGCCGACATGTCTGTGGTCAACTCTATGTATCAGTATTCATTGGCTTCTTTCCTGGAGGTCAGTGGCTGCAGTGATCCGTTTGTTGATGGGTTTTTGGCTGTAGGGGAGATAAGGTGATAGAGTAAAAATTTCTCTGTGCAGATTAAGACAATGCTGGTGAAGATTGTTGGATTTTTTCCCCCCCTTATTTCAGGTGTTTGTCTTCTCCCTCAAGAGGAGTCTCCCTGACACAATTCTGAGGAAGAGAATCAACAACATTCTGGAGGCTTTGACTATGAATGTGTATAACTATGGATGTACAGGTACGCTTTGGATTATGCTGTAACTTATATGTAACATTGAGTTATTCTAAGCTTGGGCTCCAAGAGACGCATTGAACTAAAGGGCTGCTAACAGTTGTTTTTTTTGTTGTTGTTTTTTTTAAATTTCTGTCTCCTAAGCATTTTGGAATGTTGAATTTATTGTAGTTTATGTAGTTTAAAAAAAAATCCTTAATTCTGTTCATGACGTTTATCTGTTCATGACGTTCATCTGTTCATGACGTTTATCTGTTCATGATGTTTATCTGTTTATGACGTTTATCTGTTTATGACGTTTATCATGACGTTTAGTCGCACCTGTGAGTTTAATGTTAAACTTAGGGTAAATATCAAAATATATTTGTGCTAAAATAGATATGTAATTACAAAGGAATTTTTTTTTAAATAACAAAAACTTCCTTTAAAACTTCCTCTTTCAAATAAAATGGAATGAAAAATTAAATTTACACATTTTTATGAATGTTTAGAATCCATGGATTTATCTGAAACATAAGTAAGAAAATTGCTCATCCTTTGTTTTGATGTACCAGGAAAGAAATGCAACTCTCCCCAAGCACTAAACATTGTAATTTGATACCTTATTAGTTTAGTTACCAACTTGTATTGTGTCCATGTCTTATTTCCCAGGTATCTTTGAAAGAGAGAAGCTATTGTTTTCCTTCCAGATCACCCTCAAACTGGAACAGCAACAGAAAAATGTGCAACAAGAAGAGCTCGACTTTTTTATTAAGGTGCAACAACACACACATTTTTTTTTGCTACATTCTGCCTAACATTTCATCTTCTCTATCCTAATATTCAGTAGTGTCCTCACCTTGATGTAAACTTTTTTTTTGTGGAGGAATATTCTCTGAAGTCTCTGTCATTATAGAAAATGCTCATCTTATGAGACCTTGACATCACATGGCATGAATTTCACGTTCTCCTTCACTTGTTAAACCTTTTCTCCACCCACTCCTTGTTACAACTCATCGGAGCAGACTTTCCTTTCCTCTCTTCTGCCACCCCATTTTGCCTGTGTTAACTCTCTCAACTATATTGTTCTGTCACATTCCTCTTGCTATCCTCTTGGACACTTCACTGCAGCCAAGTGTTTATTTTTATATTTTTTAAAAACTTTTACTTGTTTGCCGAAGAAGGACTCTTGCCAACATGTTCATTGTTTTGTTGTGTCCTATTTTCAGGTTTCCCCATACTTTGTTTCTTTTATTTCTTGAGAGCATGTGGTTGGATTTGAATAATGTCATAGCCTTGAAGAATGCATGATCAAACACACAGACATCTTTTTCTTAACTATCAACAATTGTAAGATACAACAGCAAAAATGTATAGTTATTTTAAACTTAAAAATTTGAACCACTCTGCCCTTTTTTGCATAACACAGATAGATTTTGAAGAGATTGTTTGTTCATGAAATCCATACACTTAAAAGGCCCTTTTAAAATATAACAACACATCTGTGACTTAACTGTTTACAAAATGAAACTATACCTTCAACAGCAACCAGAAGGGAGTTAGTTACTAAGGATTTGTTTTGAATCCCAAAAACTATATCTTTTAAAAAAATCTTTTATGTCCAACTCTCTTTTTAGGGCAACACGTCCCTTCAGAAATGCGAAGTGAAGAAACCGTTTGGATGGATCCCCGATGTTGGGTGGGAAGATGTCAACAGGCTGTCGCTGGATTTCCCCAGATTCTCCACCTTACAAAAGGACATCATAGACAATCAGGCTGCTTGGAAAGAGGTAAGTGCAAATACATTTTGGGTGAATTTAGAAACAAGATTAAACTTCTTGAAAAACAATAATGAATGACCTGTTGGTTAATAATGATGATTAGAAATTGGGGAAAAAATGACTTACCTATAGATTAATGAGTAAATCTTTTGTATTAAGATCTGAATTCTGCTCAATCAAAAGAGAAAACAGCAAGCATATTTGCTAGGATTTACATTTTAAAATAATTGATGGTGACTTCTATGGCAAGGTTGATGACTTAGGACTTCAGAAATAAATGAGGGAATAAAGTGGACAAGATTTGATTTGTGCACTTTTGATCTCAGAATCTACTTTGTAATGAATTTTCTATAAAATGTGTTATCTCTTGAAACTAAAAAAGGGGGATATAAACTTTCAAATTAATCCTAACACAATTTTTGTTTTCCTCCAGTGGTTTGATCAAGACACCCCAGAGTCATTCCCCAGCCCCATGAACTATGACAAGATACTCGGCCCATTCCAAAAACTTATGCTCCTTCGTTGTTTCCGTGTGGACCGTATCTACAGAGCCTTAATGGAGTAAGTTCCTATTTTGTGTTGACCTTACCATAGGTCTTTGAGAAGTGTGTTTCTATTCTATTTAAAGATTCTTTTATAAGATGGACATTTAAAAAATTTGTAGATTAATTAACTGAGACGCAAATGATTGGAAATAATTGTGTTTTTTTGTTTGTTTCATAGCTTTTTCATGACATTAAATTGTTTAAAAAAACAATTATGGGTATATTAAGAAAAACAGTTGTAACTTAATATTTTAATGCAGTTATTGTTACGATAGTCTCAGTTTGTTTTGTAGCATATGCACATTGATCTATTGATTAAGAACTGAAATGTTCCTTGACCAGCAGTAATCTATGGTATGTCTTGATGCTCCTGGGGGTCTTCTGGCTTCTAAAATAACTTTACATAGGTCGATATTTAAAAAAATATTTATAGTTTTGTTAAAGCTTTCATATCTCAAGGTAAACCTTTTGTATGAACCTTCTGTCCAGCTATGTGACAGTGACCATGGGCGAGAGATACGTGACGCCACCTATACTCAGCTTCGACAACATATTTGAGCAGAGCTCCCCAATGTCCCCCATTGTGTTCATCCTGAGTCCTGGCTCAGACCCCGCCAGTGACTTGCTAAAACTGGCAGAGAGGCAGGACTTCCACAATTCTAAAATCAAGTTTCTTTCAATGGGACAGGGGCAAGAGGAGGTAACTGCGAATGGGTTTTGAAGCAAAGTAAATGTGTGTTCAATGACTTGATGAGTGGGCAGTGTCCCCTTACATGTTCTAATCATTGTCTGGCAACTACAATACCTTGCATCATGTAATTGATGTAAATAAAAAATCAAATATCTAAAACTTACACATGTATTTTAGGTAACTCATAGCTGTTAATGTTTTGTGATTCTCCCCTTATGCTACCCTGCTTTCCTTTTTAAATCATTTTTATTAACCTCACTTTTGTTCATGGCTGGCCAGCAAAATCTTGGATGGCTAATTGACTCACTTCCCGTCAACCTATCAAGCTGAAACTTGGCATATAGACTCATTGCCAATGACAACTCATTCTTTCAAGTTTTCAGCCCCAACTCAAAAAAATCAGTTTTTCAAGAGGAAGATGTAGGAAATATGATGCCATTGATTTCACAAAATAAAATTCCTAAAGAGATTCTTTAAAAAAAATATATTGCAAGTGCGTTTGGTGCATAATATTAAGTTGGTGTTATAAATGTGTGGTGTTAAAGAAGGTGATTCATTTGAATATTAATGTAGTTCAAGGGCAATAAAAAAATAAGGGTTGTGACCCGGGAAGGGGACCACCAATTTAGATTCTAATAAAATGCATTACTTTTTTTGCGCGTTTTGTCAAATTTTTTCTCCCCCCCCCCATTGTTTGATGCTTTATTTTATAAAGGATTTATATGAAAAACTTTTTTTTTATGGTTTGTTGAATTTAGATATTAATGTTTTATAATTCCCCCCTCATCCAGCCTTCCTTCGAACATCTCTTCAACCCATACCCCACCTTTTATCTGACCGCTAGTTCCATATACCATTAATCCTTATTCATTTTTAAAAAACATTTTTCTCTGTTAAGACTGCCATTCAGTTGCTGGACACGGCAATAGCCAGAGGCCAGTGGTTGATGCTACAAAACTGCCACCTCCTGGTTCGCTGGCTCAGGGACCTGGAGAAGATCCTTGAAGGACTCAGCAAACCTCACCCAGACTTCAGGCTCTGGATCACCACCGACCCCACCCCAAGTTTCCCCATTGGTATTCTGCAGAGATCCTTGAAGGTAAGACGTTTTTATAATGCTCCAAGTCCGACTCTTAACTGCCCTAGTTATTCAAGTCATGTGACCTGAAATGTTTTGGAATGGTGTTGCAAATAAACAAAAATTTCTTAGACTTATCTGCAACCAAAATTCACCACAGTCTGTCTCAAGTCAGTAGTAGACTGCCTGTCTCAAATTAGTAGAAAGAATCCCACCAGCTATAAAAAAACCACCAAAAAAAAATCGGCACCAGAAGTGACCACTAGCCAGGCAACTGGTATTGCTTGACTAGTCTCCAATGAGTCCAAGGCAGGCATAAATTGTCCAAATTGTCATAATTAAATATGGACCATAATCCCATGACCATAGCCTTTGCCCCGGATAGACCTCAACACATGACAATATCCTTTTCCTTGATAGTAACATATGGTAGCATAAATAAGTGCTTAAATGATTAGCAGATTTAATATGCATGTTTGGAAAAAAGATTATACTGAGGGCCACCCATGTAATATTTGTCACAATTCCTCAAATTTATTTAACTGTCTTAATTTCTTCTTGAAGGTATTCTGGCCTTCATTTTTTTCCCTTCCATAGCTAGTGACTGAACCAGCCAATGGCCTACATTTTTTTACCTCTCATTGGTAGTGACTGAGCCACCCCAATTGCTACATTTATTTCCCTCCCATAGGTAGTGACTGAGCCACCCAATGGACTGCGGCTCAACATGCGCAGCACTTACTTGAAGATCCCAGGAACAGCCCTAGGAGAGTGCGAGCATCCTGCCTTTCCCTCACTTGTGTTCGTGTTGGCATTCTTTCATGCAGTTGTACAGGAGAGAAGGAAATATGGCAAAGTAAATTATTAAAGCATTTTTAAAAAAATTAAGTTTGAAAAATCATTGAATGATCTTTTGGTGTTCTTTTACATATACAAAATTTTATTAGTGTTTCATTAAATTGAATTTTCTATGCCATTTAAATGTTTGTTAAATGAGATTTTAATAGCAGACAAAAACAATGAATGAGAAACTATGAACAATGTTGAATCAGTTGATCTGTTGCTTAAGTTGATGAAATGATGATCAAATTAAATGTTCAACCCTTAATCCTTAGGTGGGCTGGAATGTCAGCTACGACTTTAACGAGAGCGACTTCAACACCTGCATGATTGTACTGAACACTTACCTGAACAGGATGGTGGAGCAAGGTGACCCCAAGATTCCCTGGAACACACTGAAATATCTTATTGGCGAGGTGGGTCTGTGATCGGTTGAGGTGGGTCTGTGTGGGTGAGGTGGGTCTCTAATGTAGGCCTGTGATAGGTGAAGTGGGTCTGATAGGTGAGCTGGATCTGATAGGTGAGATGGGCCTATGATAGGTCAGGTGAGTCTCTGATGTGGACCTGTGGTGTTGGCCTATGATAGTTTAGGGGATAGTTCTGCAGGGTCTGAGGCTAGTCTGATATTTTTTTAGGCCATGACCATAAGAACAATAGAAAATGTCTTGTCCAATAAAATCATGTACCACATATATGACATAGTTTCCTTGTGACTTTGTACTTAAAAAAATCCTATACATTATTAAAGGTGATGTATGGTGGACGGGCCATAGATGACTTTGACAGACGTATTCTGAGGACATACATGGATGAATATATGGGAGATTTCATCTTTGATTCCTTCCAACCCTTCCATTTCTATCATGATGAGGCCGTCGACTACTACATACCGCAACCTGAGGAGCCAACCAATAAAGATGAATATTTAGGTATTTTTTAAAAAACATCTCTGTATAAATAAACACATTCTATGTCATCTGTCAATTTTTCAAAATGTATTTAATACAGTCCAACCCTCTTGTAATTTGTTTATTTCTTCATTAAGTTGAATTCTGCAGGTTTGTTTGGGCAACGAAGGAGCTTTTGAAAGTGTCTGACAGTTTCTTACAGTTTTACTGTCTTTACAGATAGACAGAATGTACACATAGATAGAAAGTATAGATAAACAGAATGTATAGATGTACAGAATGTACAGATAAACAGAATGTACACATAGAAAATGCACATAGACATAATGCACACATAGACAGAATGTGCACTTAGATGGATATACAGATAAACAAAATGTACACATAGACAGAATATACAAATAGACCAATGTGTACACATATACAGAATGTACAGCTGACAATTTTAGTTTTGTTCATGTTTCCGTGGTGGAAGTTGGGCCACCATCATCAGAGCTTGTTAACTCCGATATGAACGGGACACTGCCCTACTGGATCCTACTTTAAAATGCTGGACGACAACAGGGACCCAAACTGACCAGCACTGCACGCTGGTCACTCAGTTAATTTCATGCCCCAAACATGAACTTAGCTGGGCCAGTCCCGCAAGCCCATCCAGCATTGATAAAATGAATGGTACAGTCAAGCCTGCAGAGCCAATGTGTTAGCCGGTGCCATAAAGTGGCAGAGCTCTCCCCTGTCCCCTCCATAGTAGAAATTATTATCATTCATGTTCTCTCCCCACTCCAAAAATCGTAGCCATAACATAATGAAATACATTCCTTCTTCTTGCTTTAAATATTAGACCCAAATATCATCAGCTTAAGTCTTTCAATCTCTTCTACAATATTTTTTTTCCCTCTAGAAATATTTATATCTTTTGTTTAACAGATTTATTTATCCTGAGGACCTTGATGGATAAATATAAGGGAGATTTCAGCTTTGATTCTTTTCAACGCTGGAATTTTTTAATTTTTTTTTTTGCCTGTATTTGTATTAAATACTTTTCTACCCATTTTTTTTAGCTTACATTGAGTCCCTGCCACTTGCCAACAAGCCGGATGTTTTTGGTTTGAACCCCAATGCAGAGATTGGCTACTACACACAGGCAGCTAAAGATATGTGGGAGCATCTGGTGGAGCTACAGCCGCAGACAGGTCAGAGGGTTGGTGGAGGGGATGGGGAAATGGAATGGGTCGGTTGGTGTGTTGGCTTAATTCATTGAGTGGAAGTACAGCAACAAACAGGCCGGTGGATTGGTGGAGAGGATGGTGAATTTTTTGGGTGGATTAGTGTATTGGATTACTATATACGGTAGACAGATGAATACGATAAGAGCTACAGCTCTTGATAAATTAAAAATTTGTGGGTTTTTTTTTCTTGTTTATCCAGGTGCCTCTGCTGCAGGGGTTAGCCGAGAAGACTTCATTTCACAAATAGCCTCGGACGTCCTTGACAGGCTGCCTGTTGAATTTGACCTTCCGAAGATTCGCCGCAGCCTCAACCTTGACATTTCCCCCACAACAGTGGTTTTATTACAGGTCTGTTGTCTAATCAAGTATGTGACTAAACTTGCCCCATCTGCATGCTGTACGGAATAACTTGTGCATCTTAATTTGTGATACTTTTACCAACTTTCTGCTGATACCTATGATACCTCATAGTTTCACATTATCCTGATCTTATGACCCAGGTCAAACAAATAAATATTTATGTATGCTTTATATTTTAAGTTATGTTAACTTTTCGGGGGGTTTTTTGGGTTCAGATTTCAATGAACCGGTTGAAATCCATAATTAAAAAGAGCTCCTGATAGTGTACTCCTTATGACTTACATCTGCAGGAATTGGAGAGATTTAATAGCCTGACAACGAGAATGAGACGGTCTCTAGTGACACTGAAAAGAGTAAGTAGCAAGCCCGTTCTGTCATTGGGGAGGATGACATTCTTTAAGGTTTGTTACACCCCTAACTTTTAAGTTGACAATACAACTTTAAATTTTACTTGATTTACCGGCTGCTTTGGTTTTTGTATGTTTAAAAATTAGCAGACATAAATCAGTACAAAGTGATGGGTAATCAAGTGGATTTTTCTGTGGTGAAGAATAATAGCTTACCCTGGCTTTTGTGTCATGTTGTTATAATGATGTAACCAAAGCTAAAAAAAAAGTTGAATATTACTATAACCAGATATAACAGTAGGTAAGACAGACCTGTTTACTCTTATGATTTTGGCGTACAATGTATGATTTTTGAGGTGTATACATTATATATACTGTATGATTATTTTTTAAATATAAGGTATTGAACGATTGTGTGATGATATTGTATGATTTTAAGAGTTTGAGGGTAAACAGGTCTGGTAAGATGTATTTGTATTCACATCTGACATGTATCCCAGGCCCTGGCAGGGGAAGTTGGCATGAGCACGGAACTCGATGATGTCGCTCGTTCTTTATTCAATGGCAATATTCCTGCCATCTGGAGGCGCCTTGCCCCGATCACTTTGAAATCACTAGGAAATTGGATAATTCACTACCACAAACGACTCAGACAGTATTACCACTGGGTAAGTAAAAAAAAAAATGATATCCAGAGTTTTGGGAAGCCTTCACAGCTCTATTCAAGGAGGCAAAGGCAAGGGGGTCACTCTTCATAACTCCATTCAAGAAGGCAAAGGGGGTCACTCTTCACAACTCCATTCAAGAAGGCAAAGGGGGTCACTCTTCATAACTCGATTCAAGGAGGCAAAGGAGGGTAACTCTTCACAACTCCATTCAAGGAGGCAAAAGGAAAAAAAAAAAGGGGGGGGGGGGGGGGGGGGTGTCACTCTTCATAACTCAATTCAAGGAGGCTGTTGGGGATCACTCTAATGTAAATATGAAGCTTTGTTGTCCAAATACAATGTTAATGTCAAACCTTGTCACGTATGCCACAGAAGAGATCGTGTCTGTCTCTGTATCAGGGCAGTGATTGTGTCTTATCGGTGTATCATGTCATCAATTGTGTCTGTGTTTCAGGTCAACGATTGTGAACCGGCTGTCATGTGGTTGTCAGGGCTACACATCCCAGAATCCTACCTCACGGCTTTGGTGCAGGCCACCTGCCGGAAGAATGGCTGGCCACTGGACAAATCCACATTGTATACAACTGTCACCAAATATACTGACCCGGAGGATGTCACAGACAGGGCCATCAGTGGTCAGTACAGTCATATCATTGGAATAAACGTGTTCATCTTTGGCTTAGTTTTCTTTCATTTCTTCCCTCTGCCAGTTTGCTTGTTAATATAGTGGATTAGTTGTGTAAAAAAAAAAGTGGTTGTAGTAGGAGCGAAAAATCCTTTTGGTAGATTATAGAACTTATTTAAATTCTCTTATCATTCACATTCATTTTTAATGGGTTTTGGTCTGGACATTTTGTTTTTCCAGCACTTAGAATTTTTTTTTTTTTTAAATCTACCAGTCAACTTAAAACATCTTAAGGAACTATGAATATATTGATCTACTAGAAAAAATTAACCCGCCGAAATATGGTGGCTGTAATGCGTGAGCCTCTGTTCTACTGTAATTACTGTACTACTGTAATTACTGTACTAAAACATGCATTCATGTAACACACTTTATAAGAATCACAATTAGTGCCTACTTCTGTGAATATGATTAATACTAAATTTATTTCTCATTAAGAACTTATATATTTACATTATAGACCTAAACATTTTTATTTCGCCAGAATTAAATGGATCCGATATCCGTAAATAAGCAAATCTCACTGTCAGTGTTTTTTGAGAATTCCATTTAGAAATAGGAATCTTATCTTGTGCCTGCGATTAAACACACAGGCTGTTTATTGCACTTCTGGGGAATTGTATTTTTTGTGAACAGAGCAAACATGCATAAATACATATATACATACCTACATACCTAGAGAATAATTATTTTTTATTGTAAAAATATCTCTTAAAGCTATTACATACAATAAACTCTGTGAAAATACCCCAGGAAATAAAAAAATACAGGGTAGGGTAAAAATAAGGAGAAAAAAAAGGTGGGTTGGGGAGGGGGGTTCAAAGACAAAAAGAAAGAAACAAGTGTCTGTAAAAAAGCCTTGTCCATTTAACAAAAACAAATCATAAATAAAATTAAAAAATCTCCCCTTGTCATTCTGAAATTAGATCAACTAATGAATTAGTTTTATTTGTTCACTCTGAGCCAGGTTGTTATGTCCATGGGTTGTACCTGGAGGGTGCAGCCTGGGAAGTAGAGAAGAAGACGATCATGAGGCAACCCCCAAAACAACTGATCCAGGAGCTGCCAGTCTTGAAGATCATTCCAATAGAATCTCACAGGCTAAAACTTCAGGTAGGATATTGGGGGGGGGGGGGATATAAGTAGGGCACCGGATGATGCATAAAGGGCACCAAATGATATATCCAGGACACCAGATGATGTATCCTGGAGTGCAGATTATGTATCCAGGGGACCAGATGATATAGCCAGGGCATCAGATGATGTATCAAGGGCACCAGAGGATATATCCAGGACACCGCCACCAGATGATGAATCCAGGGCAACAGATGATGTATCCCGGGCACCAGATAATGTATCCAGGCACCAGATGATGTATACAGTATACATTGCACCAGATGATGTATCCAGGACACCAGATGATGTATACAGTGCACCAGATGATTATCCAAGGCACCAGATGATGTATCCAGGACACCAGATGATGTATCCAGGACACCAGATGATGTATACAGTGCACCAGATAATGTATTTATTTATTTATTTATTTATTTAGGCATTTCTATATAGAGCTTACCTTAAAGCTCTAAGCGCTTCACAATTATTAACAACATGTACATTATTTAAATTGCTAAAGTAAAATAATGTATCCAGGCACCAGATGATGTTTACAGTATACATTGCACCAGATGATGTATCCAGGACACCAGATGATGTATACAGTGCACCAGATGATTATCCAAAGCACCAGATGATGTATCCCGGGCACCAGATAATGTATCCAGGCACCAGATAATGTATCCAGGCACCAGATGATGTATACAGTGCACCAGATGATGTATCCTGGGCACCAGATGATGTATCCAGGCACCAGATAATGTATACAGTATACAGTGCACCAGATGATGTTTCCAAGGCACCAGATGATTGTCCAGGCACCAGATAATGAATACAGTGCACAAGATGATGTATCTTGGACACCAGATGATGTATCCAGGACACCACATGATATATCCAGGGCACCAGATGGAACACTTTCCATACATCTGTGTATGATTTCATTAGTTTAAACACTTTTCCCACCGAACACCTTCTGCACACCTGTGTGTGATTTAATTTGTTTACTTTTCCGCCACAGAACACCTTCCGTACACCTGTGTATGTGACATCCATGAGACGTAATGCCATGGGCGTGGGGCTAGTCTTTGAGGCAGACCTGGCAACCAAGGAGCACATCTCTCATTGGGTGCTCCAAGGGCTCTGTCTGATTCTGAACACCGACTGACTGAAACAATAACACTGAAAGAGTGTGTCTGCATCTTAACATTGACTGTTTGTGTCCGACTCTCACCATTGAGTGGCTGTGTCTGATTCTAGAGACTGAATGATTTGTATACCTAGAAGATATCTATTTGATACAGTTGTAAATTTCATTTTTTTTTTTTAATCTTGCCTTGAATGTTGAAATTGCTAACTGCTTGCCTTGTTATTATCATTAAACAATGTTATCATGGTTATCCTTTTGTTTGTTGTTTAAAAGTCTGTTGCCTTTTATTTAATGCTAACTCAAATGTTTTATTCAACGTCAACTCAAATGTTTGATTGAAGTCAACTCAGATGTTTGACTCAAATGTTTGATTCAACGTTAACTCGGATGTTTGATTCAATGTCCACTCAAATGTTTGATTCAATGTCCACTCAAATGTTTGATTCAATGTACTCCACTCTAATGTTTGATTCAATGTCCTCCACTCAAATGTTTGATTCAAGGTCCACTCAGATGTTTGATTCAATGTCCACTCATATGTTTGATTCAATGTCCACTCAAATGTTTGATTCAATGTCCACTCAAATGTTTGATTCAGTGTCCACTCTGTTTGATTTAATGTCCTCTACTCAAATGTTTTCTATTTATGAAACATTTTCTTCTGATGGTTTCTTCATAGCTAGACTTTTGATGGTTTCTTCATAGCTAGACTTTTGATGGTTTCTTCATAGCTAGACTTCTGATGGTTTCTTCATAACTAGACTTTTGATGGTTTCTTCATAGCTAGACTTAAAGCTCAGTTCACACGATCAAATTTTCAATATTATACGTGGTGGGATTCTTGTATGAAGCCTTGTCACAACTTTCAAATCACTATGCACATTTTTTAATTTTTTTGTTATTACCGGTATTATTACGCGACCTCCATATCACTGATCATCACGTACTCAAAAAAATAAATGGTTGTCATTCGCGAAAGAAGTTTACATTGACTATGCTATGTTATCCAAACAACCACAGCCTCCAAATAAGAATTATTAAATACTTAAAAAATGAGAGAAAAAAATGTAATAATTACTTAGAAAATTTAGACAATAATTGGGCGTAGGGTAGGTTGTGCTCATTAGTCCTCTCCATTTTCCTGTATGCCTGGGAATCCTGGACATTAACAGCCGATCTTGAAAGTAAAATAAAGGTGATGGAGATGAGATGCTTCAGAAGCATTTTTGGCATCTGCTATAGGGACCATATCTCCAATGATACAGTGAAAGAAAGTGTGCGTCAGGCCATTGGGGAGTACGATGACCTACTGGTGACTGTGAAAAAACGCAAATTACAATGGTACGGCCACGTAACAAGGAAACAAGGGCTTGCCAAAGAAATGTTGCAGGGCACCACAAGAGGAGGGAGAAGAAGAGGATAACATCAAAGAGTGGACAGGACTAACACTGGGCGATGCAGTGCGTAGTGCTGAAGACAGAGAGGAATGGAGGAGGATGGTTCACCTGTCATCTGTGGCGCCCCAACGCTCCAAGGACTAAAGGACATGAGGATGAGGTAGGATGTAGTTAAACGTTATTTACAATTAAGCTAATTACCAATAAAGCCTATCCTAAACTATAACGGTATAACTGTGATTAGTAAAACACCATTATAGGATAGAGGGTACAGTATGACCACTAGTTTCATCGGTAACAGCTTGCATCTGCGAATGTATCTATTACTATCGTAGTCAGCCATTTCTGGGGGAAAAAACCCAACAAAAAAAACCTACCAAGTCTAAACTAACTGAGGCACTCTATGAATTATAATCCCAACACTTCAACTCTTTGGCCGACTAATTTCACTAATAATAATAGTAAAGTTGAATGACAAAAATAATGGTTTAGGAGCGGGATTTTTTTTCTTTTTTTTTTTTTTTTTTTTGGACAAACCCGTTTCCGGACAAATTTTTTGTCAGCTCCGCTCCGTTAAAATTAAAGAAAAGTGTGTGTGTGTGTGGGGGGGGGGGGTTGAGGGGGTGCTGGGTGTTTAAAGAAATAGGTTTATCGTGATGTCACTGTCTAAACCCGATAAACCTGGCATTAGAACTGCATCTGTCAGTAGCATATCGGGTGGAAGCGTCGAGGGGAAACAGCTGGTAGAAGAGTTGGGCAAAATAGCTGGTAGAACAGTGGGACAATATAGCCGACGGAATGGTGGGGGAAATATAGATGTAGATGAGTGGGGCAAAATAGCTGGCTGAAGAGTGGGGCAGTATAGCTGTATAATTACGGGGCATCAAATTTAATAGATTAATATTAAAATTATATATTTCTTTTAAAGTATTTTTGTTGTTAATCCGTTAATTTCAAACCAGGTTGAGAAGGTCGCTGTTCGTTCTTGTCACCCACGAACGTTCGAAAACAATGGCGCCCCCTTTTTAGCATTATTACTATCAGATATTATTTAATAAATAAATAAAAAAATTAAAAAAAACAGCTGTAATTTTGTTTGTGTATGACAAAATCTACGCAGAACTCCCCCCCCCCAATCCCCTCCCTTTTCCTGCCACCTGGAGGTGGTGACATCATAGCTGGGGGGGGGGGGGACATCCCTCTTTCTTTCTTTCTCTCTTCTCCCTATCCCCCCCCCTTTTTCCCCCCTTCTTTCTAACAATGTTATTATTTTTAAAATATTGAAATATTTAAGGCAACGAAGTAAGGCTCCGGGCCTCATTGCAGTAAACAGACGTCAGCAACGAGAGACCAGTTAGCCCCAATGTGAATAGATACGTGTGTGTGTGTGTGTGTGTGTGTGCTACTCAGTTGGGTAACCGCGGGCCATCAAAGAGCCGCCAAAACTCGCTCTACTGGTTTTTTTCAATTTCTCTTTTTATATATTATTAGTGCATATTTTTAGCGCCATTTCATAAGTATTGCAACAAATCGCTGCTACAGCGTGGTGTTCTTGATTCAACACGCCATCAGAGGGGTTGGCAAGAGTTAAAACAAAACATTCAACCAATGTTTATTATGTACTGGCGTGTGGCAGTAGCCAAACTCTTGAATTGAAAGCTTTCCAATGGTTTTAAACGCTTTTTTTTTTTTCGTCTCTTAAATTAAGAAAAAGAAAGACTGAAGTTTGATACAAAAAAAAAACATTTTCAAAAGATTCCTATTGGTATATACCGTGGCCATACTGCACATGCCCGGTGGATATGAGAACCAGTTTGGGATGCTATGAATACAGTATATGCCAGTCTATGGCTTTGAGACTATAAAAGAAGTTTAACTGGGTAGGTACGCGCCGTCGTGGATTCATAGTATTGTGATGAGTTTGTCTATGTGTTAGTTAGCTGGGGACTGTGCTGAGAGTTCAATCGATAACATACCTCATGAGGTTCTCAGGCTGGTTCCAATGAGCAGGTAAGTGATTTTTTTTCTTCATGGGTTTATTGTACCAGTGATGGATTCAGATACAAAACGATGGTTGGGGGTGGGGGGGGGGTGGAGGGGTAAAGAGACGTACCGTGGGTGCCACATGAAAAAGTGTGGGGGGGGGGAGCAAAATCGACGACCTGGACAAATAATTTATTATACTTTGAATTTTTTAAACTGCTTTTAAGTTAGGGTCCCTGAACTGGGCAATTTTACCCATCTGGAATTGGTTTACCTGCATTTAATAAGTTTACCTGGAACCTGCATTCATAAAGTTACCTGCATTCATAAAGTTACCTGCATTCATAACGTTACCTGCGTTCAACAAGTTTACCTTCCTTGATTTAGTAATAGTTAACCTGCCTGGAATTAATTT